AATAACAACAGTTGAATGGCAAGTTTCCATGCTTGTAAACTGTTTAATAAATGTAACCAAAGCCGTCAAAGATTGAGGAAAGATGTACACGTTCGTAAGTGCTTTCGTGAATCTGGCCCCAGAACAACAAGGGCGGAGGGAACGACAAGGAGAACCTCGAATTCGACAGAACTCATTCAACATTCGAGAGACAGAGAAACAAGGGAACGAAAGAAACAAATAAACATGAAGATTCCCGCCCACATTTCCCGCCAAAATTAAATATCAGCTGATCCATTAGGCTTCACCGAGCGCTAATGGAACTCTTTTTCGTTGTGTTTTTTTTTGTTTACAAACACCAAAGATATTATCGAATATATGTTTGTAATATTACAACCCGGAGGATTTTTTGTTGGAAATATATTTTCTGGACGATGTATTGTACATTGGAGGTGTGTGTGTGGGGGGGGGGGGAGGGGGGAGGATTTATGATGGCCAACTAGGCTATTTGGTGTTTAAGAAATATTTGTTTAATTATTAAAATAATGTTTATTATTGTTTGTTATCATTTGCTGAATTTGTATGTTTAATACAAATTATTAAACATGATATTATCAAACATAACACACTCTCTCTCTATCTCTCTCTCTCGCTCTCTTTCTCTCTGTCTCTCTCTCCCTCTCTCTCTCTATCTCCCTTTCTCTCTCTTTCTCTCTGTCTCTCTCTCTCTCTCTCCCTCTCTCCCTCTCTCTCTCTCTATCTCTCTTTCTCTCTCTTTCTCTCTCTTTCTCTCTCTCTCTGTCTCTCTCTCTCTCTCTCTCTCTCTCTCTCTCTCTCTCTCTCTCTCTCTCTCTCTCATCTCACCACAAACTATTCCATCCACTTTAACCACTCGTATATAAGCCAGAATAAAACTCTCCCCCACACACTATTATCTACATTTAAACAATGATATTTTACCCTTAATGGACTCGAATTAAAAATATTAAATCAGATTTATACGATGCGAGCTTTTTCGAGGCGAGTTCATCTGTTTGTGCTATACTGGCTCGAGCTGTTAGCTCCTGGGCCCCGCCTTTTTTAACCGAGGTTTGGTGTACTGACTCCCGATGTAGTTGTTGTATAATATGAACTATATATTATTATTGACACGTCCCCAGGATGCAACCCACAACAGCTGACTAACTCCCAGGCATGTTTACTGCTAGGTGATAGGTCTTAATAACCCTCCAGAGGTTGATAGGTCTTAATAACCCTCCAGAGGTTGATAGGTCTTAATAACCCTCCAGAGGTTGATAGGTCTTAATAACCCTCCAGAGGTTGATAGGTCTTAATAACCCTCCAGAGGTTGATAGGCCTTAATAACCCTCCAGAGGTTGATAGGTCTTAATAACCCTCCAGAGGTTGATAGGCCTTAATAACCCTCCAGAGGTTGATAGGTCTTAATAACCCTCCAGAGGTTGATAGGTCTTAATAACCCTCCAGAGGTTGATAGGTCTTAATAACCCTCCAGAGATTGATAGGTCTTAATAACCCTCCAGAGGTTGATAGGCCTTAATAACCCTCCAGAGGTTGATAGGCCTTAATAACCCTCCAGAGGTTGATAGGCCTTAATAACCCTCCAGAGGTTGATAGGCCTTAATAACCCTCCAGAGGTTGATAGGCCTTAATAACCCTCCAGAGGTTGATAGGTCTTAATAACCCTCCAGAGGTTGATAGGTCTTAATAACCCTCCAGAGGTTGATAGGTCTTAATAACCCTCCAGAGGTTGATAGGTCTTAATAACCCTCCAGAGATTGATAGGTCTTAATAACCCTCCAGAGGTTGATAGGCCTTAATAACCCTCCAGAGGTTGATAGGCCTTAATAACCCTCCAGAGGTTGATAGGCCTTAATAACCCTCCAGAGGTTGATAGGTCTTAATAACCCTCCAGAGGTTGATAGGCCTTAATAACCCTCCAGAGGTTGATAGGCCTTAATAACCCTCCAGAGGTTGATAGGCCTTAATAACCCTCCAGAGGTTGATAGGTCTTAATAACCCTCCAGAGGTTGATAGGCCTTAATAACCCTCCAGAGGTTGATAGGCCTTAATAACCCTCCAGAGGTTGATAGGCCTTAATAACCCTCCAGAGGTTGATAGGCCTTAATAACCCTCCAGAGGTTGATAGGCCTTAATAACCCTCCAGAGATTGATAGGTCTTAATAACCCTCCAGAGGTTGATAGGTCTTAATAACCCTCCAGAGATTGATAGGTCTTAATAACCCTCCAGAGGTTGATAGGTCTTAATAACCCTCCAGAGATTGATAGGTCTTAATAACCCTCCAGAGGTTGATAGGTCTTAATAACCCTCCAGAGGTTGATAGGTCTTAATAACCCTCCAGAGGTTGATAGGCCTTAATAACCCTCCAGAGGTTGATAGGTCTTAATAACCCTCCAGAGGTTGATAGGCCTTAATAACCCTCCAGAGATTGATAGGTGTTAATAACCCTCCAGAGGTTAATAGACCTTAATAACCCTCCAGAGGTTGATAGGCCTTAATAACCCTCCAGAGGTTGATAGGTCTTAATAACCCTCCAGAGGTTGATAGGCCTTAATATCCCTCCAGAAATTGGTAGGCCTTAATAACCCTCCAGAGGTTGATAAACCCTTAATAACCTCCAGAGGTTGACAGGCTGATAGACATAGGCTTACTCTCCCTTGGCTACTAGGATTCTTAGGTTAGAATACCCATGTGTCTAAATCCCAGAGAGCGAGGTAAATAGGCGTCGGCCCCTCTCTCATAGGTCCATGGCGCCGGGGAGACGTAGCCTAACATACGCGCTAAACTGAACCTCACAAAGTCTCTTAAATTATCACTTCTGACACAATTATCACAGGAAATTATTACAACGATATTTTTTGTCTCATAATTGTTATCTTAATAATGTTTTTATATTTTTGTTTTTTGCCCCAAATTGAAATTGAATTGAAATTGAAATAAGTTTATTGAGGTAAAATACACACAAAGGGATGAGGTAGCTCAAGCTATTCTCACCCATTTTGCATACTATGATTATTATCATATTTTTTCCCAGGTTTCTTCCCTTACCCATTACTTCCCTTTCTTTCTCACTCCATCCTCATCCATTACCCTTCCCTTACCCTTGTCTAGGTCCTCTGTCACCCCTATCTTGCCTCCTCCAGACCTCCCTACCATCGCCCCCTCCACACCCGTCTCTGACCCTTCTCTGACGGCTCCAGTATCACATTAGCCGCGTCTTAGGGGGATCGAACCCCCTCAGGATAATACGATAATGCCATAACACTCCCCTCGCACGAGAGAGAGAGAGAGAGGGAGAGGGAGAGAAAGAATGATAGAGATAGAGAGAGAATGAAAATTTGCTTTCATCATGACCCACAAAGTACACAAATATTTACTCCCTTTTCATATAAAACTATGATTATGTAAATGACCAAACAGACAGACACGGACATGTAACAATGTACCATTTAATCACCGTCATGCTCATGTGCTTTCACAAGCCATTGTAGAGTCTTGTATATAAATAGTTACATAAATGCGTGGAGAGGACAATACCAGACAAACATCAACACAACGAGAAGTAAACACAGCTAGCGCGCCCCACCCGACCTGACTAAGCTTATTACATGGAAACCTTTGAGTTCCCCCCCTCTCTCTCTCTCTCTCTGTCTCTCTTTGTGTCTCTCTTTGTCTGTGTCTGTCTCTCTCTCTCTCTCTCTCTCTGTGTCTCTCTTTGTCTGTGTCTGTCTCTCTCTCTCTCTCTTGCTCTGTCTGCCTCTCTGTTTCTCCGTCTCTGTCTGTCTCTCTGTTTCTCTGTCTCTTTCCCTATTTCTGTCTCTGTCTCTCTCTCTATTTCTGTCTCTGTCTCTCTCTTTCTCTGTGTCTGTCTCTTTCTCTGTGTCTGTCTTTGTAACTAAGACTGAGGACCATTAGGAACGGTGGTAAAGTTCCTAATGAAACTGTAAGCGAGAGCTGTTATCCTACACCAACTCATCTGAAGCCTGATCTTAAAAAAAAAACAGTTTTGGTGAGATTTTTATTTATTAACCATTAATAATAAACTAAAATTGAATGCTAAGTAACCATCTAGAAATGAAGATGATGAACCATGAGCCAGCGGTGTGCCGAAGCCTTCATCTGGTTAGTTAATAGTTCATTAACAGTAATAATTTGTCTTGATTAGTAATAGTAATAGTTCGTTTTGATTTCGCGTTCATTTACTTATTTATTTATTTATTTATTTACAAGAAGGTACATTGGGTTTATGAGAAGACATATCATAGTACAGTATTTACAGTCTTGTAAAGCCACTAGTACGCGCAGCGTTTCGGGCCGGTCCTTAATCTAAGAGAATCATCTACATGTTGAGCAAACGCGTTCCAAATGCAAGTCAGCCTATGGATGAATGATCGATGACTAGAGTGAAGTTCTTGAGAAAGGCACAGCCAACACGAGGCTGTAGAAGCGGTTCGGCCTCCTAAGGTTTCTCAACATCAAGAAAACGGTCAATTTAAAGTGGTCTCTCCTAACCTACCAGTGAACCCAAGAGAGAAAACGGGACATTATGCCTGCATTTGTGCACATAACTTTAATGTTAACAAAAATTATTGCGCAGCTTTGGTTTTGTGTCATGGAGCTGTGGCTGGCAGCTGCTTGAAGCCCGGTGCTGTGTGGAAGATGGAGGGACGTTTGTAATTTATTCATTATTAATGTTTGCTCCATCAAGGATATTGCTTGACAGGCTTGGCAAACCGTCAATCAAGCAGCGTAGAGTGACATTGCTGCCTGAGGCTCACCTTAAGCCAGGGACAAATCTCGGAAAACAAATTTAATATAAGATTGAATGAACGTTGACCCTGTGTTGATTTAATGCATAATGTATTTCCTTATTTTCCTTTCCAAATCGTCCTTGGAGATACCATAGGTACACTACATGGAGCTCCAAGAGGTTCAGGGGTAACTCGTACATAAAGACCTTTGTTTTCTCTCTCCTTGACAGGGCCAGCGGCGGCCTCGGAGGAGGTGGCCATCACCAAGCTGGAGGTGCCAGAGTACGCGCTCCTGGGAGACAATGTGGAGCTGGTGTGCCACTGGTCGGTGCCCAGGGAGATGAAGCTCTACTCCGTCAAGTGGTACTTCAACGACCGCGAGTTCTTCAGATACAAGCCAGAGGAAAATCCAATCCTTTATCTGCATCCTATTGCTGGGATCCGAGTTGATGTGAGTTACGATGTTTTGATGTGAGTTAAGATGTTTTGATGTGAGTTAAGATGTTTTGATGTGAGTTAAGATGTTTTGATGTGAGTTAAGATGTTGATGTGAGTTAAGATGTTGAAGTGAGTTAAGATGTTGAAGTGAGTTAAGATGTTGATGTGAGTTAAGATGTTTTGATGTGAGTTAAGATGTTTTGATGTGAGTTACGATGTTTTGATGTGAGTTAAGATGTTGATGTGAGTTAAGATGTTGAAGTGAGTTAAGATGTTGAAGTGAGTTAAGATGTTGATGTGAGTTAAGATGTTTTGATGTGAGTTAAGATGTTGATGTGAGTTAGGATGTTTAGATGTGAGTTAAGATGTTGATGTGAGTTAAGATGTTGAAGTGAGTTAAGATGTTGAAGTGAGTTAAGATGTTGAAGTGAGTTAAGATGTTTTGATGTGAGTTAAGATGTTGATGTGAGTTAAGATGTTGATGTGAGTTAAGATCTTGAAGTGAGTTAAGATGTTTTGATGTGAGTTAAGATGTTGATGTGAGTTAAGATGTTGATGTGAGTTAAGATGTTTTGATGTGAGTTAAGATGTTGAAGTGAGTTAAGATGTTTTGATGTGAGTTAAGATGTTTTGATGTGAGTTAAGATGTTGATGTGAGTTAAGATGTTGATGTGAGTTAAGATGTTGAAGTGAGTTAAGATGTTGAAGTGAGTTAAGATGTTTTGATGTGAGTTAAGATGTTGATGTGAGTTAAGATGTTTTGATGTGAGTTAAGATGTTTAGATGTGAGTTAAGATGTTGATGTGAGTTAAGATGTTGAAGTGAGTTAAGATGTTGAAGTGAGTTAAGATGTTTTGATGTGAGTTAAGATGTTGATGTGAGTTAAGATGTTTTGATGTGAGTTAAGATGTTTAGATGTGAGTTAAGATGTTGAAGTGAGTTAAGATGTTTTGATGTGAGTTAAGATACTGATGTGAGCTAGGTATTGACATGAGTTAAGGGTTGAAGTATACTATGCATGGATACAAAACAAGATATATTTAAGTGCATATAAACCATGTTTTAAACATCAGTACAAAACAATTTAACTTTGAACAATGGCTATAAGAAGGATAATATTAAATTCATAACATTCTAACCCAAATACTATCTAATTTTTTCGCAATGTTTCCCTCGCTGTTACCTAGTTTCTCCATCCCCATTATCTACCCAATTCGTTCTCAATTTGTACCTACTTCGTACCCAATCTCTACCTCATTTGTATCCAGGTCCTATTAAATTTCTATACAAAATGTATCCAAAATATATCAATACAATTTTACAAATTACCTACCCCTCATTTTTATCTAATTTCTACCCATTCCTACTCAATCTCTAAGCCATTTTTATCCAAATCTTTCTCTAATTTTACCCAATTTATACCTCACATCACCCAAGTTATATAACAATGTAATTAAATTCTACCTTATACTTTCCCTATGTACATTCTATTTCAATTTTTTTTCTTTTATAATTTCAGTCTCATGCTTTTATTCTATTAATATACCTTTGTAACCTTTACTTTTACCCAATTTTTTTCCAGGTATTATTTATTTTTTATCTATTTTCTTCTAATGCAAACCCTATTCCCACTTAGTCTTAAATAAATTTTACACATTCCTATTCAATACCTCCCATATTCTAATCAAATTCCTACCCAATTATTGCTATTTTCGTTTTTCAACTTTTTTAGTCCCAATTTCGATCAGTTTACACCAGATATGTGTAAAATGATCCAAATAGGAAATACATTTTGTTCCATTAATACCCCATTACAACTTTTCTACCTATTCCTAAACCATCCATCAATCATGCCCTATTTCCATACTATTCGGTACATATTTCTCCTTCAAAAAACATATTTAAAAAAATATTCCCTATTACCACCCCATTAACCATCAGAATTTACTCGTTAAATTAAAGTCAGTAATAATAATTATAATAATAATAATTAAAAATATTAAAAATGTTATTAATAAATGATAATACGGAAATAATAGCATATATATATGAAACTTGAGAGCATAGCATCAGTAGCCATAAAGAAATAAATAAGGCTGTTTATATGACTACTTGAGCGGTCGTAGTAAAAACAGTCCTTCAAAGTAGCCCTCAAGTAGGTATAAAGAGAGACATACGAGAGGGAGAGAAAGACAAGAGGGACAGAGAGAATTGGTAAGGATTGGCAGTTGGTAATTAAACCTATATTGACACCCAAAATATATGATTGATTCGAATGTGTGACCCATTAACCTTCTTAAGAGTGGGCACTTTTCACCAGCTTCTGTTGGCACCCATTTAAGGGGCAGCCTCTCTCCCTTCATCCTCCTGCTGACAGCCCTTAAGGGGCGGCCTCTCTCCCTTCACCCTCCTGCTGACAGCCCTTAAGGGGCGGCCACATTTTTATTCAACTCTCGCGTCAGACACTTGCTTTGACGAACCTGCCGACAACAGAACTTCAGGCGATACCCACCACCACCAGCTGTCTCTCTCTCTCTCTCTCTCTCTCTCTCTCTCTCTCTCTCTCTCTCTCTCTCTCTCTCTCTCTCTTTCTCTCTCTCTCTCCTCTCTCTCTCTCTCTCTCTCTCTCTCTCTCTCTCTCTCTCTCTCTCTCTCTCTCTCTCTTTTCTATTTCTCTCCCTTGCTCTCTCTTCTCTCTCTCTCTCTCTCTCTCTCTCTCTCTCTCTCTCTCTCTCACTCTCTCTCTCTCTCTTCTCTCTTTCTCGCTCTCTCTGCTCTCTCTCTCTCTCTCTCTCTCTCTCTCTCTCTCTCTCTCTTCCTCTCTCTCTCTCTCTCTCTCTCTCTTCTCTCTCTCCTCTCTCTCTCTCTCTCTCTTTCTCTCTCTCTCTCTCTCTCTCTCTCTCTCTCTCTCTCTCTCTCTCTCTCTCTCTCTCTCTCTCTCTCTCTCTCTCTCTCTCTCTCTCTCTCTCTCTCATATAAGCACTGGCAGATGTAGTGATATTCACTCTTGCACATAATTCTGTTATTGCAATTCCTCTGTGTCGTATATCGCATACTTGTGTGTGTCTGTGCTCTCCGTGACGTACTCACCTCATGTACTCACCTACATGTACTCACCTACATGTACTCACCTCGTGTGAATTATTCACTTAATCGCCAATTAGGAAATTTCTTTTTACATCTTTGTAAATCAATTTCTTGTAATTCCTTTATAAACCTGCAGAGTTTGCCTGTCTGTCTATCCAAACATTGAGACCAGACCCTTGGGGCTAGTCCCACTCAACTTTGCAGTGGGACTGGTCTGGGGAATGGGATGGACATAGACTGGTCAGGTTAGGCCGAAGTTAAATGTTTTATTAAGAAAGATTACCATTTATAGAGGCCCGCCTCCCAGGCGATTTTCATGGAATCAAATGTGAAGTATGTGATGTGATTTCCGTGGAGTGTTTAGTGATCGTAATAATATATTGTCTGAGAGGAGGGAAAGTGAAGGATGAGGGGAGATACAAAGGGGGATATGTGGGAAGCCTCGAACCCTTGGCCATATAAACCGTAGCCCCCCAGCTCTACCTATTGAGCCACTAACACCCACAATAAGGAAGGATTCAAGAGGCACCTATCTGCTGCCCAACTGGAACTTTAGCCCTCCCCTGGGGTGCCCCTTTGGCATGAAGGTGAACAGAGACAGAGAGAAAGATCTTGGAGTTGATATCACACCAAACCTGTCTCCTGAAGCCCACATAAAGAGAATACCGTCTGCGGCATATGCGAGGCTGGCTAACATCAGAACGGCGTTCAGGAACCTGTGTAAGGAATCATTCAGAATCTTGTACACCACATATGTAAGACCAATCCTGGAGTATGCGGCCCCAGCATGGAGCCCGTACCTTGTCAAGCACAAGACGAAGCTGGAAAAAGTCCAAAGGTATGCCACTAGACTAGTCCCAGAACTAAGAGGCATGAGTTACGAGGACAGATTTCTTGAAATGCACCTCGCGACACTGGAAGACAGAAGAGTAAGGGGAGACATGATCACTACCTATAAAATTCTCAGACGAATGGACAAGGTAGACAAGGATAAACTGTTTAACACGGGAAGTCGCGAACAACGGAACACAGGTGGAGACTGAGTACCCACATGAGCCACAGGGACGTTAGAAATAACTTTTTCAGTGTCAGAGTAGTTAACAGATGGAATGCACTTGTAAGTGATGTGGTGGAGGCTGACTCCATACACAGTTTACAATGTAGATATGATAGAGCCCAATAGGCTCAGGAATCTGTACACCAGTTGATTGACGGATGAGAGGCGGGACCAAAGAGCCAGAGCTCAACCCCCGCAAGCACAACTAGGTGAGTACACACACATATATGGGAAGACTGAGGGAGACCAAGTGTGGGGCCTGAAACGACCAATAAATACACAGACAAAGGTGAGAGCGGTTTCTCATTGGTCGAGACGACACCCCCACGAGGCTTCGTATTGATTACCGAACATGATCCCCCTACCCCCATCCCCCTCAGGATAGGAGGGGGGAGGGGTTGTATGGGGGGGGTAGGGGAGGGTGTATGGAAGGAGGTCGGAGTACTTTAGGCTTAAGTCGAGGTTTCCCCTGAGGTAGAACTCCTGACCTTCCCACAGGGTGCCACCCACAACAGTTGTCTATCTCCCAGGTACCTGTTTACTACTGGGTGAACAGAGGCACTAGGTGAAAGGCCTTAATCACAGGGCCTCGTGGCCTAGCGTACAGTGCTCGCAAGGGTCGCAGTCCCAAGGGCCCGAGTTCGTTTCCCGACCGTGGCAGAAACAAATGGGCAGTTTCTTTCATCTGATGACCCTGTAAACAGGTAAATAACAGTAAATAGGTACCTGGGAGTTAGACAGCTGCTTCATTCTGGAGATGCATGTGTGTGTGTGTTGAACAGAAACACGTGGCTACCTTGAGGCTACCTTGAGGTGCTTCCGGGGCTTAGTGTCCCCGCGGCCCGGTCGTCGACCAGGCCTCCTGGTTG